ATTCTTCACCATGGTTTCCGGGTTTTCACCAGTATGGTTGGTTGATTTGAATTTTGTGAGATCGTTTGGTCTGAGTAAATTATTTTGCTGCATGTCAATAGCTTGCACATGTTTGCTGAAACGGAATATTAATATCTGAAAATCGTATGAGAATTTGTTTCTAGAACAACACCTTCTAGCAAATAAAGCACAAAACAAGATTCAGCAAAACCCAATTTAATCGATTTTAAGGGTACCTATCTTGGTTACATGGTTGGTATATTAACAAATCTTGAACGAAGATTTGGCATATCAAGTAAAAAATCCGGTGCCTTGCTATCATTTTACGACATCGGCCATACTGCTGCTGTAATATTAATCGGCTTTATCGGTTCTGGCAAAAATCTTCCCAGAATTACTGCTACTGGTAAATTTGAATTTCGAAATATCTCTCTGCGCTTGTCCAGTGTTGTGGCTGATCATTTAACCTGCTGACCCGGCCAATTTATTTGCTCGTCCTGTAAATGATATCGTTCCTGCATTACTTTTTCTTCTTACAAATAGTCTAACATGCCAAGATCTTGAATGGGTTTTTACAAAGCGAAGCAGTGATTTACTACCTAAAATATAAGTGCAGCCGCCGGTCCTTCGTATTTGTAAATGTGGATACCATCAGCTACAGAAGGTTCGGTAGTGGCTAAGCAGTTACTTTTTTACTGTGTGAATTTCATAGGGTCCGTTTTAAAAACTCAGCTATTAACGAGACAAGAGGCTGATAATACAATAAAATAATAAAGCCGATAACATTGCAGGAGTAATACTCAGTGCAGTATCGATGTTTATTTTAGCACTTCCTGTGATTTTATTTGGTCCAGAGTCATTCGATGAAATGACACTTGCTCGACAACACGTACGCCGAATTTACTTCTCGTATTTCGACCATCATTTCCTCTTTTTTCTCGTTTTGCGCTTTATTATGGCTGTATTCCGGCACTGGCCTGGTTATAAACTGCATGGTCACTTGCCTAGCCAGTGCTTGCTCATCTGGTTGTCTGCGCATTTGCTGGACACTTGTTTATTTCTGAATGTTTACAGCAAAAATATATATTGGAGAATATCTGCGACCGATCCCGATTTCCGCAGGACCTGGAACAAAACTGTAAGCTGGAACGTGATGAACATCTCTTCGCATTCTGCGTCCTTTCGATCGGACAAATCTTGGCTGGTATCGCTGCCGCACCGTTTAACACAATTGCTTACGTCTATATAGACGACAATGTGCAAGATAAATCGAAGTCTCCATTTTATCTCGGTATTTTGTCAACTAACAGTTAGTACCCAGTTCACCAGCTCAAATTGGACTGCTACGAGTTGCTGTAATTCAAATTTGGATTGGCAACTGCCTTGGTCTGAAAAAGTCGCAACAACGGGGCAGGAGACACAAATTCGATTAAACGTTAAATTTCTCTGTGCGTGCGGCAACATTACCTGTATAAATTTTCCAGGATTGCTTAGCAGTATGTACGCGTTTGCGCCAGCTTTTGGATTTGCTCTCAGCTCAGCTGTTACTCGTATTTACGCGACAATCGTTGATGGTTGGAATTTTTGTGGTTTCAAAAGTTGTTGACAACTCATCACGCATTTTCTTGTCTGATCATGAATTGAGAAATATTTTATGTGCAGCTGGAACACTGCACAAAAAACT